AAACTTTATATTTTATCTGTTATTTTTCTACCCTGTTATTTATCTGTTATTTTTCTATATTTCATCGACCTTATACCCTGTTCCCCCCAGAAAAAAAAAAATCAAAATCAATCTAAATTACCCTCTATTTCTTTCCGGAATGACTTCACATTCAGCATGCAACTACATTTGTTTAACCTGAGTAGCTTTAAACTCATAACAGTATACATTTATTTATAATTATAAGTTGTAAATCACTTGGGGAACATGCAGCTCATGTTATGCTATCGAATTACATTGCCCACGAGCTACTACAAGCTGTTCTCATGCATGCCTCATGAAATATTTTTATTATCTTTTATTTTATTTAATCTAATCTTAACTAACCTTAAAAGATCCCTGTTTTCACATTTTACTTATTTTTATAATATTACATAAAGAATAAACAGGAAAAACAAAAAATAAAGTACTTACCCAATTTTTTCTTTTCTTGCTGTCAATTGTCGATGACACTTAACCCTACTTTTTTTATACTAATGGTAGTAATGCTCTAAATAATTTTTATTTAATTAAATAATGCACCAAAGGACATAAGACTAATAACATTCAAAAAGTAGAAAATTTCCCAAAACTTTCAAAAATATTCTGGCTTTCTAACTATGCAACAAGAACCATTACAAATTCATCCAAGCTTTCCCATGGGAACAGAGCTTGTACTCTGAGTGAAATTAATGATTATCAGTTCAGAATACAATGTTATACAATACGTCATTTGATAGATGAAAACCTTAGCTTTCTAGTTGTTATAGAAAATATATAATTAAACATAAGAGAGAACTATTAACAAATCCTGAAAGAGAGAATATGACAGATGGGCGTGGCAGGAGGGATCTGATTTTTTATTTGATTGCTCTATAACCTTTCAAAATTGAAGGCTATAAAAATTATGGTTTGTCTGAGCAATGACAATTTTATAGTGTGTAATTAACATTTAATTTTGTACCTTTTGGAGGGGTGATGGATAAAATAGATTAAATGTGTCTCGTGTGTCACACTAGAGGAAATTAGGATTTTTTTAAATATTGCCTTATAAAATTAAGAACTTAAAACTTATATACTATTAAAATATGGATTATTAGCTAATTATATACTAATTGATATAACAAAAACAAAAAGTAGTTTAAAAATTTTTTAATGTAAGACACTAAAACTTGTGTTGTGCACAGTAAAGGATACCTGTGGCAATAAGGTTAAACATAATCCTTTATTCTCCTGAAGAAGAACTATTCAAAAGCACTTGAGTTTTGAATGTAATTTGAAAACCATACACACAGAAGAATATGCCAACATATCTTTACTATGACTTAAAATGGCATTGCAAGATTATAAAATCTAATCCAGAGAAAAATATTAACCAAATTTTGAAGAAATATAGGAAAGAATTTGGAATAGAAACAGTCAAACAACTAATATTACATCACGGCACCTCCCCACATGTTTATGGTCAACCAAAAATCCAAAAACATAGCCACACATAGCCATAGTTAACTCTTCAGATTCATTGTTACACCATATTTTCACGATATGATATCACTATAGGCCAAACAACTGTCTTCACATGTTAAGAATTCAGTCCACTATACATATAATAAAAACAATTGCAAGAACTTCACAGGATACTGTAATCATTTTAATGTCTTCAACCTATTTAATAACCTTTGAAAAATGACAGATACACAGCCAACAGCTTGAAAATGACAGAATTCTGAAAGAATGTGTTCAACTGACAATTTCTATGATAATAAAATTTAACTTTCTTTATGAACACAACTAATTTCAAACACAAGGGAAAATATTATCAACAGCAAGGAGGCTTATCAATAGCCTTATCCCTATCACCACTACATAGTAATTTAGTGTTATCAAGTCATCTGAAGATTATAATTGTTATTCATATTGATAAGGTTGTTTTAATGTGTCTGGTTGTTGTAAAGTTGTGAGGTTGGAGGCCAAGGGAATTATTTGTGGAAACTAATCAAAATAATGAAATTAATGAAAAGTTATTTCTGTTTTTTTTAATTATATAATAAAATTGGGAGTTCTTTGTTAAGGATGTGGGATATTTTTATGATTAGGGTTTGGTAATGAGAGGGGATTATTCAATAAAAGTATGGAATGAATAGAACAATTAAAATAGTACTTATTCAGTTTAGAGAAATAGACAGATGTAGATTTATCAAAAATTGAAAATAGATTTGTTATCATTTTCAGACTGTTTTTTGTAGAATTTTTGATGGTGTTTTTATTGGGGGATTTGAATGAAAATTTCAAAATAGAGTTGCTCCAAGATTTACTGTTTGGCCCAGATTTATTGACAATACTTTTATAGCATGGCCACTCATTACTGGAGAAGATTTCAGATTTTAAGAAACCACCTTCAACAGACAACTTCCAGTAATGGTGACAGAAAAACACAACAGGCTTCCCTTTCCTGAACATGTGGTCTCCAAGACACATAACTCATGTACCACGGGTGTTTACAAAAACACAAGAGATGCTATTAAGTACCTTGTTTATGGATCAAAATAGCCTTACAGTATGAAAGGAAGAAAAATAATTTGTAAATAAGTAAATGTTGTTAAGCACAAAGTTCCACTTTGCACAAAAAATGTTTCATCTGTCAAGATAAAACTTATAAAGAAATAGATAGCCTAAGCATGGACAGCCCTCTGTCACCTGTATTATGTGAATTGTTTATCAACAAAATAAAAAATCAGGCCATTAACACATTCCTACACCCTCCCACACACACTGGTTCATATATGTCAACGATGTATTTTGTGGATTTGAAGACAACAACCATAAACAGTCATTTTACAATACATAAAAAACATTCACTCTAACATAAAATTCACTCATGAAGAAGAGAATGAAAGCAGGTTTTAAATTACATGAACATGAATAATAAAACTCCAACAGTTTTAACACAAAAGGCTTCCATAGATCCAGTAATTATAACTATATAAAGTGGGACTCAGCCCACTCAACTCAACAAAAATTGGAACGTTATCATGCATTTACAAAACAGCATTTAACATGTGTAGTATCAGTAATCTGCAGCATGAACTAGAATCAAAAATATCTGACTCATTTATTAACAAATGTTACTTCCCTAAACACAATGTCACTGGAACTTTAGCCAAGTATAGAAATAAACTCAATAACAGAAAAAAAAAAAGGGAAAATAACATAAACTCTATGAAGGAAACAGAATTCACAAACTCAAACACATTAATAGGTATCATAGCTATGTAACCAAAAACATCATAAACATTTGGAAACAAGCATAAAAAACAACAAAATAAACAGCAAAGTTAAATTTATTCAAAAACCAAGCAATAAAATCAAAAGTCATCTAATGAAGATTTATTCTGGCATCTATAAGTATCAATGCGATTGACGTGGTAGCAGTTACAGGCAAA